ACGGAGAGAAACGGACGGAAGACCTCAGATATGAGCCGAGTGCCAAAAGGCGTAACTTACAAAATCTCAATTTAGATGTGATAACAATATTTAAATATGGATATTATTTACACTTCTAGGTCAGCACATATGTTTTGTTTTTTGTTTCTAAAATAATATTGTCTGTGGTTCCCATAAACATCGTAAAATCTTACGGTACATCGCGAAAAATGTGTTATTTTATGATTCAATTTATGGTAAGTAACGCAGCAATTCATTTAACATAAGTTTCATATTAAAAAATATATTTGAAGCAATATAATCACCATATTGAGCTTTTGCAAATTCATCCCTTTAAAATAAACAAAACGCGCGTTACTTCAGTTTGTTCTAAAAGAAACGTGACAATGGCAGCCAGAGATGCATCACTTTTTTTGAGCCGGTCCGCATGCACCGAATAAAACTAAAGTTCTTATATTATAATATTGAAAATAAAGTTTTATCTTTTGAATAAGTACGTACTTATTCGGTGTCATTATCTCTCGAATCTTTATGTGTTATAAATTAATGCTTTTTGTTGTTAAATGAATAAAGTACTTTATAATAATAGATGATTTTTCTTCTACGGCGATCTTTACGTAACTTTTTAATAATAGTTATATTATATCAATCATTACAAAAAGTAAAACTAAAAATCCATGTAGTACTACTACTACATATAAAAAGTGCCTATATATTGAGGGTTTGTAGCCCCTGGTTAAACGACCGCAAGATTATCGTCCGTTTTTCTCAATCGATTTGGCACTTACTAAGCAACACAACTACAGCTCGATCATGTTCGTACGAGTCAATGCACGAAGCTTTTGCCTAATATTTACTTACTTAATAATACGTTCACTACTGTCTTGATCTTTAATTTTAATTTAACACACAAATTTTAAATTTATAATGTGGCCACACAGGAACTGACTTGCGATTTGTTGTTAGCATAGATTGGTTAGTTTCGTTCGTTTTAGTTTTTAGTTTTCCTTAATACTTCAATTTTTGCCTGTCCTAAGCCAGGATGAAAGCATGAAGGAAAAGTTACATCACAGGTTATGTGTACCTACTGTATTTTATTGGAATGTTGTGTAGGTAGCTAGGGCGGGCGGTGATCTTTACAGTGATTACGTCACTCGGGCGCATAGGGTATCCATGAATTTACGGACGGTGTCGGACAGAAACTTTTAAAATTTTATGAAAGAAAATAGCGTTTTTTTTTTAAATTTGGATAAATATTTTTATATTAAAGCCAACTGCCTATGGTTTTAGTGACAACGGTGTTTACACTTACACCTTGTATAATTGAAATTGTAAAGGACTACGATACTAGGCTGCACTAAAAGTATCTGAAATGGAATATTTCCAATGTTCCTGTCATATAAAATCTTTTTAATTGAAAACACCCTTGGTTTTAAAAATCGAATACCATTTATTTATTTAAAAAAAGATTCTCGGTCTTGTCACAAGGTTTTGTCAAAGTTGTTTAGTCGTTGAGAAAATGGAATATGTAGTATCCTAGTAGTGAATGGAATTGACTCGAGAAAATTGAAGAGCGATGATTTATTATGACTTTCGAAGTGGTTTAACACAAAAACAGTGAGGTGACCGGATGATTTCTGTATTTGGTGATGAAGCCCCATCCAAAACCACAATTTATCGCTGGTTTGCTGAATTTCAACGTGGACGTGTCAAGCTCAGTGATGATCCCCGTCAAGGTCGTCCAAAAACTGCAGTCACCCAAGAAAACGTTGATGCTGTGCGCAAGCTACCGCACCGCGAAATTCAGGCAACTTTAGACAATCTTGCATAAAGAATTAGGTGTAAAAAAGTTGTTTTCCCGATGGATACCGCATTCGCTCTGTGAAGAGCAAAAAGCGGCTCGCGTTACTTGGTGCGTCAGAACTCTCGAAAGATTCCACGCAGGATCCTCAAATGCTGTATACAACATCGTATCAGGTGACGAATCCTGGATATACGTGTACGAACCCGAAACAAAAAACCAGTCACGAGTTTGGGTGTTCGAAAATGAGTTAAAGCCAACAAAAATTGTTCGTTCACGGAGTGTTGCAAAAAAAATGGTGGCCACGTTTGTCTCCAAAACCGGCCATGTTACGACTATACCTCCTGAGGGACAAAGAACGGTTAATGCAGAATGGTATGCTAGCATTTGTTTGCCACAGGTCGTTTCTGAACTCCGTAAAGAGTACAGCAACCGCCGCATCATCCTCCATCACGACAATGCGAATTCTCACACCGCACACAGAACAAGAGTTTTTAGAGCAAGAAAACATAGAATTATTAGACCATCCGCTGTACAACCCCGACCTAAGCCCTAATGATTTCTATACTTTCCCTAAAATAAAGAATAAATTGCGTGGAAGAGATTTTCATCACCGGAAGAAGCTGTGGGCGCCTACAAAACGGCCATTTTGGAGACCCCAACTTCCGAATGGAATGGTCGCTTCAATGATTGGTTCCATCGTATGGAAAATGTGTCAAATTTCGCGGAGAATACTTCGAAAAACAATAAATACATTTTTAAATAGTAATGTTGTGTCACTTCCTTGATTCCCGAAATTTTCAATGCCGCCCTCGTATATGAAATAAATGATACGAAGTTTGAAATAGTTTCAGTTCTTAATTACTAGGTTGATAACTACGCGAGGCAAATTATGATTTTTTTGACTGCCGAGCTTATTACTACTACAACTAGCACTGGTACAAGTACTTCCATATAACGGAGTGATGAACTGTCCAAACCCTAACAGCCTCCAGTAAGTTGCGAAAATTGTTTTTCGATTGGGTGGTAAAAGTACGTTAATTCCTTGTTAAAGTTACCTCCGTATAATCTTTGGGCACCACGTACTTTCATTGCTTAAAACGTAGCACCAGAACATTGCATAGTATTCGCAATTCGAATATTTACGTTGCGTCATTGCTAACAAAGTGATAATCAACACTACACTAGTCAACACTGTCAGCCGACCTGGCGAACGTACCTATGGGTGTAACGGCTAACGGAAAATACGATGCGATTGACTTTACCGACTCAAAACAAATGTAAGGTACCTAAATCTGCAGCCGAGCGCCACAGTAACCCGTCCCGTATTTAGGCTGTAACTTTACTTTTTTACTTACTACTAACTTTACTTTTACTACTGCTGGGCACAGACCTCCCCTCATGTCTGAGTGGGTTTTAGGGCAAGGAAATGTTCACCGCGCTGCCCAATACGTATTGGCGAAATTCACACGTCTTCGAAATATTTTTTTTCTTATTCCTCATACATGCAGGTTTCCTCACGATGTTTTCCTTCACCGCCGAGCACGTGGTAAATCAGCACTTAAAATTGCAAATAACAATTTCATAGGTGCCGGAGGGGATCGAACCCGGGTTACTCGCGTTCTGTTATATACAGCGAGCGTTAACCATCTGAGCTACCACGGCTCTAACTGCTATCTAATCCAACACTCCCTTACGAATATGCATGCGTAGTAAAATAGTATATTTATGAATGACATTTTAAACAGGGTATTTTACACCATTTAAAATAATCAAAAAAAATATTCATGTTTATTTACAAAACTATATTATAAGTTTTATATTTCAATTTTAAGAATATTTTTTTCGTCTGTGTCTCAAATCTGCAAAATGCTGTCCACCCATATTAGAAACTGTCGTGACGTCACTTATCCCGCTTAAAGGTATTAGTGTTCTGTGTCACTGATTAAGAGAACTAGCTAACGTGCTGTGTTATTTCGAAATTTTTCAAGTTATCATTACGACTATTGAGATTTATTCCAAATTTAATTGAAAAGGCATAGGAAGAAGCAAAAAGTTATTTAAGGAAATTGATGGCGGCAATTTTTTTTTTTTTTTTTTTGTATACAATCCCAATTTTTTTTCTGCAAGTTGAGGAATGTTAAAACATCAATGTACCTATTATCTACCATTACCAACTTTTGTTTAATACAAAAACCAGTTCAGAGCGTATTTTGATAAAACATAGTTTAGTAGCTATCAGTTACTTTAGTTTATCTAAAATTACAATCATTAGCAATCATTAGTTGTAATATCTAAGTTGACGTAATTTATTACAAAATTTGACTTGCGATACCCTTCTCCTCATGATGTTTTGTTTTGTATAAACGATAGTTAAATATAAGTCATATTTACATCAAAATGATCTTCACAGAAGAATAGTCTAGTTTTTGTAGACAATGCATTCGAATATTTTCTTGCCAGTTTTAACGAAGTATTTCTTATATTTAAATACTTGGCACTTGAATCCATAACCTTTCCGAAGTGCTTATGCTCGTATTTTTGCACCCAGGCACAACACGACAACGATATAGATGATATAACTCATTATTAAACATTTAGAAGTATCTTATTCCTTTGCGAAATCGGCAAAACTCTAGAACAGTGACGTCACGAGTTAAACATTATGGCGACTAGCGTTTTCACGCAAAAAATTTAAAACGATCGATTAAAAGTAATTTTTATGACACTATTCGGTTTTAAAAAAATTATATAATCATTATAGTGGTTCAATATCACTCAAAAATTCACTTAAAACACTTTTTGAAAATGGAAGTAATACCCTATTTAAAAGATAAAAATGACAGAATTTTCATTTCTTTTTTAATTTATATTTTTCGCTATTCACTAATATTACCTATTCTGAAACTCCTCTTCAAATTTGGGCACACATTGCAAAATAAGCTGTATAGAACAAAAACAATATATATGAATTATATAATCCGGATTAAAGGGAACCTATTGTCATAGAATTTTTATATTCCAAGATCACATGATACACCCATCTAACAAATCCTTCAAAATAAAAATATAAATTTAGTCTTATTATTAATATAATTTATCAAGGTGACACTCTTGTCATTAAACACAATAATTTTCATTAAAAAAAATCGTACAAACACTTCATGTGAAACAGCCAAAATATTTCGCAAACAAATTTTCACTTCACAATGTTCTTTTCTCCGAGCTTAACAACTTTGTCTAGGTTCTCCTTTAGAGTCTTGAGCTGGGTCAACGTGCTGGGGTCCATGAGGGAGAAGGGGATAAAAGCTTGGGACTGACGCAGTTGCTTCGGTTGGAGGGACAGCATGGTGCCGTCTTGGAGCAGTATGTTGCAGTTTGCCTTATCATCTGGTTGCATCCTAAAAATATATAAAAGTAGGTGTATAAAATTTTGCCATCATTACCACATTTGGCAGAAGGGTTGACAACCCCAGTTTTTTATGTAGATGCTGCTGATTATTATCGTTCTGTTCCCACTTACAACACCCACGGGATGATTTGGGGTACTGAATTTTTTTTATAGTATAGGGTGACAAACGAGCACACAGTCCCCCTGATGGTAAGTGGATGCTGTGGCCCATAGACATCTACATTTATCCTCGATTAAGGATCAAAAGGCAGATGCGTTGTCACCTCTGAGGCCTGAAATGGAATGCCTCATTTCCAGCAAAAAATGGTCTCCGGATCTCCACACTCACCATAAGCTGCTATTTTACGCTGATATCCTGTGAGAGCGTGGTCCTTCCCCGGTCGAGCCGCCGACCCATTCGTGCTACAACCATAATATAGCTACAGCGTGGCTCTACCACGTAAGAAATAGAAATAGAAAGACTAATACTTATACGTTGGTATGGCACAGCGACTAAGGCATATTTCCCTCTTATTAGGCAATCTAAGGGGCGGCCTATGATCAGCAGTGGATTTTGTTAGGCTGCAATCAATTGATGAATGAGGAATAACATAACATGTATAATCGACTACATCCGCGTGGAATTCAAAAAATAAGAAACTACACAGAGCTTTAGAATGCTTCAGAAAATCTTACGTTCGGCTCAATAGTATGCATTAAAAGGTAACAACAAACATACAATTTGTACTTAGATCCAGAAGCACGAATATATCAGCTCTACCGGGGTAGGACCACACTTACTCAGAATACCAGCGTAATACTGCTAAGTTTCATATTGCAAGTTACTAGTACCGTAGACCCTTTTTACTAATAGGGTAATAGGGTATTCCATCTTAGTTCACAGAGGCGTTAACGCATTTGTAATTTGATTCTTAATAGAGGATAAATGCAGGTGGTTTTTATGAGACACAACATTCACTATGAAGGGCACTGTGTTTTTTCTTGTTTGTCATCCCTACTTTAGTAAATAAAAGTGACGTAATTTGCATTTATAATATTAGTACAAATTTCATCGGACTAATAAATAAAAAATCATCCTTATCCCATTAATATAGAGTTGGAGATAGCATAAGATAGTAAAAACAAAGTTTGGGTGTAAAATTGAAAGGGGAGACGTCGTTCGCTCGCAAAGTTCCATGCAGTAGTACAGAGCTATTACATACCGCAATACTTCGGAACTTTGATAGTGTGATTTAGGCTTTGGCGCGTTTCGCTTGTGGAGCGACGACAGCGCCGCCACAAGAATAATATCCTCATTACAGCCCATCAAAGTCCACTGCTGAACATAGGCCTTTCCTAAGGAACTCCACAAAGCAAAATCCTAAACCCACCTATAATCATCGATATCTCGCATTTCTGATTGGGTTGTCACTCCATCCTGCTTACCGTACTGGTATGGTGCTGGCATTCGAGAACCTTTCTTTCTCATCGGTTGTCGGTTGTTCAAGGTATATGAACAGCCCATTGCCACTTCAGATTACTAATCCGTTGAGCTAAATCTGTTATTCTGTTTCTACTGCAGGTATCATCGTTACGAATTTTTTCACACAGAGAAATTCCGAGCATAGCTCTTTTCCTATCTTTATATTATTGGGTATTACTATCAATTGTAGCAAAGATATTAGCATAAGATACTATACAGGAATCTAACCACACCTTGCACATCTCTACATCCATTAAGCTGTTTAAGCTCCAGGCAGATCAGACAAACATCCGAAAGATCTTAACCTTCTCACTTAAACAATTGGGTAAAATATGGAAAATATTGAAATAACTTACGCGTAACACGAAGGTACCATGACGGGTGATCCAGACATGGACAGCACCATTTCACCTTGACGGGGTTGCCTTAGCACAGTCAGTGGAGTTTGCGGTGTCACCTTTGGAAAATATGAACCTTAATAAATCTTTAAAAACGTAAAAAATGTCTTTTTGTCCGCATGTCTTCTTCACCTATTAAAATACACCGGTGTCTACTTGTATAAATTATTTGTTTAATATGCATTTTTATATATTTCTAATGATTATTATGTTTATATTATTATTTTAGTCTTAAGTGTTATATTATGGATGTATCTATTTATATATAGAATAATATGTCTTTAGTAATTGAATTTCTGTTCTGCAATACTGACCATTTCAAATCAAAATATTTTTTGTTTGAGTAAGTATTCTAATCTCAAATTGATTTTCTCAATCTAAGGCTGAATTAGCAGCAGCTTTCGACTTTAGCATCAAAACAATACTGGTCCATTTACGTCAAATTAGCAAGGTAAAAAAAGCAAATGGGTGCTCCACGAACTCAAAGATCGCCAGCGCAAAGTACGCATTGAGACGTGCCTTGCTGCACTGCTCAACGGGCACGCAAACAAAAGAATTTTGAACCGCATTGGTACGTGCGACGAAAAATGGATTGTTTGACAATCGCAAGCGCTCAGCAAGTTGGTTAGACCCTGGTTCAGCACCTAAACAATGCCCTAAACGAAAACTTTCCCCTAGAAAAGTGATGGTCACTGTTTCGTGGACTAGCGCCGGTGTGATTCATCACAGCTTTATACCAAACGAGATGAGCATTACTGCAGATGAGTATTGTATGGAACTGAACACAATGATGGAGAAGCTCGCAGATCTCCAACCGGCTTTTGTCATCCGCCGAACTCACCAGACGTTGCTCCTACAGACCTCTACTTTTTCCAGACTTTGGATAACTTTTTCGCGGAAATAAAATTCGATAACCAAGAGGCAGTACAAAATGACTTTAAAGAATTTGTTGTATCTCGTCCAGCTGATTTCTTCAAGAAGGGCATCAATAAACTACCACTGTGTTGGCAAATATATATATATTTACACACGATAGTATCAACCGGGGTGACGACGGTTGGCGGGTGGCGAGGGGGGGTTTGCGTCTTACGTCAGCGACAGCGAGCTAGTCAGTCGATGCGAGGCCGGCAGCCGGTCGGCAGCGAGCATTCGGGCGCTGCGCCCGCGCCAGTTAATGGTCGAGCGTTACATAATCTCCCGGGTCGAGTTAGGGGTCGCGAGTTAATATACTTTTGCGTCAAAAGGACGGCCGCCTTGTGTTATCTTATATTGTACGTATCCGTGATAACGTGACTTATTTCTGTAGTTGTTTTGCGCGAAGTCCGGGTCGATTATATGTTGAGCCTCCTCGTGTTATCTTATATTTGTAAGATTCCGTGATAACGAGGTCATATTAGATAATTATTGTTGTAACAGTTTGAGTATTGTTTTGTGACTGGCATACGGTTGCGTGCGGCAGGTGTTGACTCAAATGCCTAAGGCTTATGTTAATTGTGCGCGCCATTTTGAACTTACTATTGAATATGTGGGTTAACACTCGACCGCCTCTAATTTAGTTGTCTGGTTTGAACGTGTTACGTGACAAGTGACCTACTTGGAATTTGTAGTGATTAAAGGAACTTTTATGCCGTTAATTGCATCGACGAGTTAGTAGTTGTGCTAAGTGAACCTGGGACATTGAACTTTGACCAACCGTCCTTAAGTTGTGCAGCGTGTCACTGTTTTAACGTCGATTAACGTTGATTTGGTTGAACTTGAAGTTAATTAAATGGACAATAAAGTTGATAAACTAATATAGTAAAAATAGAAGTGGAAGTCTTTTCCATGGAAGTCTTGGATCTGCTGTGGGATGTAGGTTACCTGACACATATTGCACACCACTTATCCTACCTTAACCCTATCTCCGCCAATCGGTAAGTGTTGCTTGCTTCTTTGTCAGCCATTTTTGGAATTGTTATCCAAAGGTCAGTTGGGCCCTCCCCTTTGTCACCCGTCGAATTAGACTACTGATATGTCCTAGTCTCGATCGGCTTTTGTCAGGGTGGCATGGGGGCAGTAACAAAGTGGTAGCAGAGCGTGATTGATATAGTTTCTGCAATCATGCCCGGCGGTAATGTGGTAGTTTTTTTGTTTGTTAGCGGATCGGTGGATGGAACCACGCATTCTGGTGACATTGGTTTTGAATTGGACGCATTGGTTTTGCAATCACTCCCGGCCCTAATACGTAATAAAAATATTTTTGTTCTTTACTTTCTTTGTTCGCTTACTTTGTTTGTTAGAGACCCACCTCTAACAAACAAGAACAAGAATTAGAGACCACGCCTCTAGGCTGCGCAAGCGGGAGTGTAGTTTAGGTTTAGCTACCGTCACGCGTCGTGTAAGGTGGATAATTATCGTTATCACATAATCGTGTAATTATCGTATTATCGTTATTGCATTCGTATTGTATTGTTGATTAAATTGCCGAAGTATCGGTCGCCTTAGCGTGGCGTCTTATTGACCGATTGTAGTGAGTACTTGCGGTAGTAATGTGTTTGATTTAATTAACAGTAATTGTATAAATTAAATTAATTGTGTAGTGTAATCGTGTTTGATTTGATAAATAGTAATTTGTATTTGCAGTAATTTGTATTGAGCTTAATTTGATGGTAATTTGTATTTAGTAGTAATGCCTTTGCACTGCCAGGGCAGTCACTTTGCCGTTTTGTGCCCGGGTGCGACCGGCGCTTCCTCTCGGGGCTCTACCGGGCCCACGACTCCCACGGGCGGGGTCGCTCAGTCACGCCCCCTGTCCAGCGACGCTCGGCGCACTCCTGCGGGCTACCGTATCCCCGGTTCGATGGAGGCAGTTCCAACTAGGTAGCTGCCGCCCTAGCTCCTACCACGGCCGCCTCCACTGATCTTTTGAGTCGTCAGTCCACTTGTCAAACGGTTCTATTGTCAATGGGCTCAGTGAAGGCGTACAACCCGAGTGGCGATTGTATAACTGTGCGCGCTCTATTGGATTCGGGTTCAAACTCGGTGTGGCCTCCACTTGGTTGGTGGGGAGACTAGGGTTCATCTGGAGCTTCGAATGCTTAGAAAAAAAATTGCTTTGGTTTTTCCGCGAAATGTTTCGTAGTTGTAGCGGTTTTGAGTAAAAAAGGTGAATTTGAAATGCTCTTGAATGCGTATATATGTTTTTGTAAATGTATTTGATCATTATGCTTGCTTGTTGAATAGAAAGTTGAAATTGAGTGGCTATTTGTGCCGAAGGAAATGAGAATTGATCCTTCTTTTGTTTTCACATTTTGTTGGCATTGTCGAAGATATTTGTTTTGGAAAATATGGTTATCTTATGTTTATCGTTTTGCTTAATTTATCTGTTTTGATCAATGCGCATCGGGCAATAATTTTGCTATAGTTTGTTTCAAGGCTGCATAGTAGTTTGAGTATTGATGCTTTAAGGCTAGGATGAAGCGCAGCATAGAACTGCATATTTGGAAAAGCTACTCTTAAGGTATGACGGTTACGTGCGAAGCGCACGGCACGGCATTGATTGTCGCTCGTGCTTTAAGTGACAAGAGGTCCTTTTGAGTTTTAAAACGCTAAGAATGTGTGAGCCGAGAGGAGATCGCTTCATGTTGGATATAGATTAATTGTACGCGTACACCGGTCGAGTAGAAGTATGATAGAAATCGGATTTGTCGAAAGATTGTTAGTAGAGCTTACTGTCAGACTTTGACATTTTACACCTTTACAAGATAGCTCTTAAAATGTGTCCCTTTTGTTTTTTGTTTTTGTTCTTGTGTTATTTTTTTTCTTGTGCTTTATTAGTGGGCTTCGGTTGCTGGTAACTCACCATCATGTTCGGAATGCGGCTAATTTGCAGCGGAAGTTTTGGATTTTGGCTGGCCGACGCACTATTCGGAGCGTCACTTTTGGGAACATACTTTGTTGTAGATTGAGGGCCACCATATCGCAGCCGATGATGAGTGACTTACCATCTGACCGCGTCAGGGCCATCCGACCATTCGCTGGCGTCGGAACCGACTTTGCTGGCCATTTCTCGTCAAGTCCTCCAAACCACGTAACGCGCGTTACATAAGGCTTATCTGTGCGTTCTCGTGTGCCTCGCCACTAAGGTCGTTCACTTACGCGTCGCGGTTTGCCAGACCGGATCCGGTCGGATTGCGGAACGGATTGCAGGGGCACGGAAAGATATTTGGAGGAGGTCGTCGAATTTCTGTCCTGCCACAGGACTTATTGGGCTTCTGCGATGTCCGGGAAGGGCATCCAGGGGAAATTCGACTCTCCGGCTTGCCCACGCTGGGGCGGTGATTTGAGGCGATGGTTGGGGTTGCAAGAGCGCGTCTCCGTCGCGTTGGTGGCCGAGGTTTTGGTTGGAGATTCGGTCTTTCAAAGTGCCGTCGCATCCCTAACCCGGTTGCCAATTTACTCGCGGACATAGGTCCTTATGTCCGGGACGGGGGTTTGTTCACGCACGATAGTATCGACCGGGGTGAGGCCGCGACGGTTGGCGGGTGGCGAGGGAGGTTTGAGTCTTGCGCCGGCGACAGCGAGCTAGTCAGTCGACCGCGAGGCCGGAAGGCGGTCGGCAGCGAACCTTCGGGCGCTGCGCCCGCGCCAGTTAAAGGTCGAGCGTTACATAATCTCCCGGGTCGAGTTAGGGGTCGCGAGTTGATATACTTTTGCGTCGAAAGGACGGCCGCCTTGTGTTATCTTATATTGTACGTATCCGTGATAACGTGGCTTATTCCTTTAGTTGTTTTGTGCGAAGCCCGGGTCGATTATACGTTGAGAGCCTCCTTGTGTTATCTTATATTTGTAAGTTTCCGTGATAACGAGGTAATATTAGATAATTATTGTTGTAACAGTTTGAGTATTGTTTTGTGACTGGCATACGGTTGCGCGCGGCAGGTTATGTTAATTGTGCGCGCCATTTTAAATTTACTATTGAATATGTGGGTCAACACTCGACCGCCTCTAATTTAGTTGTCTGGTTTGAACGTGTTACGTGACAAGAGGCCTACTTGGAATTTGTAGTGATTAAAGGAACTTTTATGCCGTTAATTGCATCGACGAGTTAGTAGTTGTGCTAAGTGAACCTGGGACATTGAACTTTGACCAACCGTCCTTAAGTTGTGCAGCGTGTCACTGTTTTAACGTCGATTAACGTTGATTTGGTTGAACTTGAAGTTAATTAAATGGACAATAAAGTTGATAAACTAATATAGTAAAAATAGAAGTGGAAGTTCTCCATTGTTGAACGCCCCTTGGATGGATCCCAGATTTGGCGAGAGGCAACGTCTTGGGATCTGCTGTCCAGGATCAGCGGGAATGTCAGGTTACACATTGAACACAATATTGCACACCACTTACCCTACCTTAACCCTACCTCCGCCAATCGGTAAGTGTTGCTTGCTTTTTTGTCAGCCTTTTTGGAATTGTTATCCAAAGGTCAGTTGGACCCTCCCCTTTGTTGACCCATCGAATTGGACTACTGATGGTCCTAGTCTCGATCGGCTTTTGTCAGGGTAGCATGGGGACAGTAACAAATATATATACTTTGATTAATACAAATACGAAATATAGAAAAAAATTACGTTGACTTATTTAATAAGAAACTGCAATTTCAGTAAAGAGCTAATATATTTAGTTTAGAGAAGTTTATACGTAGTTTTTCAACCAAATGGCAATATATTGAGGATGATGGCCAGATTAAAAGTACCGTTAACCGACGAGCATCAATGAAATACGAGGGGAGCTCAAAAAGTTCGCGGAATGACGGGGTTGGCGTGGGTGAGTTTACTCATCCAGTCAGGAGTTGAGGTATCAACGAGTAAATAAGTCAATCGGGAAGAAACTAGCAACTATAGAGAAAATTAATTATCGCGCCGTTATTAAGTTTCTCACCAAACAAGGAGACACCTCAAACCATTTTTCAAGAGATGTCAGCTGTTTATGAGTATATGTTTGTCTTTTTGTACAATTTGATTGACTCTCGAGGAGGTACGTAAGTACCTCCTCGAGAGTCAATAGACGCTAGATGGCTTTACACGACTAAGTAATATAATATTCTATTTCATTCTCTCGCAGGCTAAATAGTATAGATGTATATGTTTGTCTCTTTGTATAAATTGATTGACTCTCGAGGTGGTACGTAAAAAAGACGCTAGATGGCCTTACACGACTAAGTTTTTTTATAGGATAGGGTGACAAACGAGCACACAGTTCACCTGATGGTAAGTGGTTGCTGTGGCCTATAGACATCTACATCCATCCTCGTTCACGAATCAAAATACGGATGCGTTGTCACCCATGAGTACTAAGATGGAATGCCTCGTTTCCAGTATAAAAAGGGTCTCCGGATCTCTACACTCACCATACGAAACACAGCAGCATTAAACTACTTACTATTTTACACTGGTATTCTGTGAGCGTGGTTCTTCCCCAGTCGAACCGACCCTTACGTGCTACAACTACAATTGGAAATAAATCTATAGTGCCTCAAAAACAACCCTATACAAGTAGATTTAATACAATATACTTCTCAACAATAAAATTATGAAAGACATTACTCAATTCATACATTTCAATACAGTGGACACTTTGAGTACAACTTTAACGAATGTTCGGTGATTCAGCCGAATACGAATATTCGGTAAAGCTCCTAAATATGCCGAATATCGAATATGAAACATATATTCGGCCCATCTCTAATTAAAACATCCTTTGACTTAGTATATCCCCTCACCTTTGGCGTGATGACTGGGTATTTGAGGGTTGAATTCTTGTTGTAAGCGGGCGTGCGGTAGACCGAACGTGACTGGCGCCGCTGTGTCTTAGCAGCACTCATTACACGAGTGTCAGCTGATCGTGACCGACGTGTGGTCATTCGACTCGCTGTACTTGGCGGACCTGGGTAAACACAATTATTTTCTAAGAATAGAATAGAATCATTTTTAATCAATATACAATAAGTAACGTAATTAAACACACACCCTCAGACACCCCAATTAGTATATTATGTTATAATCATAATACAAACACTGAATTTTTAGTTAAACATTTTTATGCACTGATTATTTATCAAATAGTTATCTAATGGAAGAATGTTGTGGTAGTAAATCCTGAGACTTTTGAAATAAAGTTTATTTTTGATGACAAATTGTAATTATATTATTGGTAAGGTCCATTTAAGTTTGTTTTATACAGAAGTGTGATAATATAGTTTTAATTATTTTTGAAGTAAACTTTCTTTTTTTATTTTTTATATTATATACTTTTTTTAGCGGGGACCAAAGACCTAGAAATTTTTTTTAGAAAAACAAAACCGTTTACAATCATTTAAGTTACACAATTAACAACACAAAACAAATTAGGAATATCTTGGTAGCGATCAATAAATTCCTAGGGGTTATTATTATCCATAAAATGTAAGTGTTTTTGTAATATTTTAAAAAGTATTCAGTAACAAAGTTTTAGATATTTTGAAATTTTTACTGGCATAATTTATAAAGATAACTTGTGAGCTCACTTTTTTATATTATTATTATTTTTAGGTAAGAAAATAAAAAGGTAGTCGCGTGCTAACAGAGTTTGTGATAAAACCAGGCTACAATTATCTTTTAACTTAACATATGGCCAAATATCCAAAAAATACCCAAATTTAAGATGTTGTTATGACTTAAAATAAAAGACAGCACAAGACTTAACGGCATCTTAAGACGATTGTGAAGCTGTAAACTTTCATACAAAAAGCGATATCGTTTTCCCTCCCGTAAACATAGTCTAATGGCGCATTTACATTAGGTCGGTCACCGAAGGCGGCGGCCGCATTCGGTTTAACTGAAAAGCTTATCTAAATTGAGTTGTTTACATTGGTCGGTTAACCGAATTCGACGACTTGATTGATGCGGCGATTGTATATTGAACAGTCGGGTTGCAAGCATCGTCATGAACAGTCTCGTGTTAGAAGGATTTTTAACTGTGTGCGATGTAATACAAGAATTTTTGAGGAAAAAATTGAAAAATAGGACTACAAAGAGAAAGAGAGTGTGGATAACACCTCTATTAAGTCAACGGTCTTTGTTAGGAGCTTCAGTGTTGTTGTGTACTGAATTCAAAACTGACGATGATTTTTTATTATTTTTTAGAGTAGATAAAAACCAATTCGAATGGTTACTGAATGAAATATGTGCGATTATAGAAAAACAAGACAGTACATTCAGAGAGTGTTTAAACGCTAAAATAAAACTACAAATAACTTTACGTTTTTTAGCAACAGGCGATTCTTACAAAAGTCTTGAGTTCTTTTTTAGAGTTTCTGACAGTGCTATAAGTTTATTTAATTCAGAAGTATGCGATGCCATTTCTGAGACGTTAAAGTCATTTATCGAGGTAAGTGGTTTATGTAGTAATTAGTTAAATGTAAGTAAAACAATAAAATTTTTACAATCAATATAATTTCAAAATTACGAAACATAGGTATTATAAATGTTGGATCATTTCCAGAAATGATCTTAAAGCTAATTGATCATGCATTTTTAGAATCTTCTAGGTTCGAAAGAACACCAATCACATTTGAGATAGAATCGTTGCTTGTATTTAGCTCTATGTTTTCAACTGCTATGTTACTTTGGCTACTAGTACTCATAGTAGTACTCGTAGTATAATTGGGTGTGAAATATTCATGTACTGGATAATTACTTATAATATGTGATGTTGTACATTCCTCAGATAAAATCCTCAACTCAAATTTTGTTATAGTTTGCTGGATTATTGATTTTGCTGAAATAGTGTTTTTTCGGCATTTGTCGCAACGAAGACGTAATGTATTTGCCAAATATATCTATCATATTCATCTTCCTTCATAGTTCCAACTTCTTTTCTTAAGTTGTCCAATTTCTCCAATGCCACATCAATCACGTCTTCAGAGTTCTCGTTTCCTTTATTTCCCACCACATGGTTTCTTTTGCGTTTAGGTTTTTGAGGTAAGTTTCGAGAATCATCAGAAAAATCAGTTGTATGTTGCGATGTACATAAAAAGGTATCTTCCGTAAATGTGGGAGTTTGCGTGACGTCACTGCCTGTATAGCTGATTGTCGAAGCACAATCAAAATTTTCATCCTGACATATAAAACATTTAAATTAGGTACTGGATCATCATGGTTGTTAAATAGGTAAGTCAAAATAGGTAATTTTTATTTTTTTCATTTCAGATCCCGAAAACAGAAGAAGATTGGCTTAAAATCGCTAAAGGTTTCGAATTGAAATGGAATTTCCCAATTTGTATTGGAGCACTTGATGTTAAACATATTGTGATTAAGGCGCCACCAAACGCTGGGTCAGATTTCTTTAATTATAAAAAAATTACAGTATAATATTATTAGCTTGTGTAGATCACGATTATTGTTTTATTTATATTGACATTGGTGCAAAAGGCAGAGATTCAGACGGCGGTGTTTTTGATCATTCTCCCTTGAAAACGGCAATTGATAACAATGCTCTTAATATTCCTGAGAGATACGTGTTCGTAGCTGATGCTGCATTCCCACTCAAAAATTATTTAATGAAACCTTACCCGGGTCATGATCTTACTGTTGCTGAAAAAATATACAACTATCGACTATCGAGGGCTCGGAGGATTGTCGAAAACGCCTTTGGCATATTGGCTTCGCGATTTCAAATGTTTGGAAAACATATCAATTTGAATATTAAAAAAACGGAGAAAGTCGTGTAAACATGCTGCTGTCTTCATAATTGTCTGCGTAAAACATCCCCTGCACATGCACACTTTGCATATTCAAGTACCTGGAGATCTAACTTTCTATCATTTGTTGAAGAAAACAATATGGACTGTAGTGAAGCAAGACAAAAACGAAATGCTTTAGTGATTATTTTAACAGTGATACTGGTGTTGTTTCTTGGCAAACAAATTGTCTGCAATTAATAATTAAATAATAAGTAATTACTGTGTTAATTTAAGTTAATAAACTTGCTTACCATATTTGTATTTGTATGTCTTTTACTTGTATATGTCCTCAAAAATCCATCAGCTATTTCAAACCACGGCACCTTTGGTTTATAAACAGATTGTGTACAGGCACTGGATCGGAAGCTAGCGTCAATTTTTTTCTTTCTTTTATGTAGGTAGACCGTATTTTTTTTTATTTTCTTGCAATGAAAGTGATGGCGTATTCAACGAGTCTTTGATTCTTGCGTAGGCGTTATCTCTTGCTTCTCGACTTCTGTACGACTTATGTGTAACTTTCCATAGAACTTCGTTTTCCCGATACAGTTCTACCAAGTGCGTCATTTCCGAGTCGCTATTTTAATATGCACAATCGAGCGCGTGCGGCGGACTGGCTCGCGCTCTTCGAACTGAGCTGCAGGCTGCGGGCGGCGGGCAACGGGCGGGGCACGGCGCACTCGACACCGACAACGGGCTCGACCGAATACGGCCAAACGAATACCCGTTTATATTAGTCGGTGACCGAATACGGCCTGTAGCCGAATACGGTCTAACCGACTAATGTAAATGCGCCTTAATTTTCATAATTTTTGGAAATGTTGTAGATATAATAAAAAACTAGGTCCGTACGTTCTTATTTTAGGGAAAAATTGCGTACGATATAAATTATTAGCATCTAAATATCTATATTTCTGGCTTAAAAACTTCTTCGAGCGTTTTTATTTTTTTTAATTAAATTAAAAGAAAAACGTACATACTGAATCTAATGAGACCAAAATTGTCTCATTTCGTTAAGATTTATAGGGGTGAAAACGTTATCGCTCGAAACAATATTTTAAAAAGAAAATGTAAGCAATTACTGCCAACATTTGCAACTCTCTCTATCGCACAACGGCGATACGGAGCGAGGGTTGTGAAACAGATAGCATTTTTGAAAATACCTACTCGCGCCGCGTATCGGCACTTCACAATCCTCTTAAAATTGAGTGTTGTTTGCGTATTTTACCAAAATACTTATACCATTTGAAAATATCCTTTTCCCCCTTTGGGTTTTTTGTGTTGGGTCACGCCAGTACTCGAATGGCGGATGCGAACCCACGACCTTTTTGAGTTCGCTGTCCGCGCCCTGCCATTAGGCTACTGTCGCTTCCAAAATTATATATAATATAAAAATATATATATACTATTTATATTAATAGTACTATTAAAGAATATATCCGGTTCATTTCTATCAATAATTTAATTAAAACTTCTTTATTCCGAATTTTATTATGTTCTCTCTTTCTTTTCTTTAATTATTACGAAACAAAAAAAATTATAAAAATATCTAATTATCCCTCTACTTAAAGTAACAATTGAAAAAGTAATGGAAAAGTTTAGAAGTTAATGATAGTAATGAGGGTGTGTTTAACCAATCACCGATGATATGGAAGAACAGACAAGATAAAAGCAGAGCAAGCACTTACCTAGGTTCGTCTTGGCACCGCGCCCTCCGGAGCCCTGGGACGAGTTCTCAGTGAGGTAGCCTGCCCCAAAAAGCACCCAGTTAGTAGTTGAAAATTTTAGCGACATGATTTGTTAGTGGCGTGAAATTGATTTGAAACAATGTTGGAGAATTCATGTGCTTACAAAAGAGGTGAAACATTAGGTGTATAGAAGTTTTGCCACTATTCTTACCAAGTAGTCACGTTACGTTAAGTCAAAACTTACAGTCACGGCAGCTAGTCTTAGTTTACTTAGCACTTAGTTTACCTAACTAGTCTTGTGCAGACAAAATTAAAGTGTCCGATTGTATTAGCAAGTACAGGTAAAGTATTGATATATTTTTCTACGAACGTAAGTCAATTTAAGTAGTATTATTTTACAAAATATACTAACTAGAGCTATCCCACTGCCTGTTGTAAATTTATGGTTGCCTAGTACTATTCATAAAATATACTACTTTACTACTACTAACTACTGATGACAACTTTTATTATTAATATTTGTACTTTATAGAGTAGGACTACTGAGAAGTTTCTTCCCCGATGTTCTTACCAGTATGACCAACTTGGTAAGAAAATTCCTAGTACAGTTGACCTGCGGTAATCTGACAAATGTTATGCAAAGCGGTATCAGATCATCAAATTCGTCTGACTATAGAGTTAGAGACTATAGAGTACTGCTATAAGCCACTGTCAATCAAGGTGAGCAAATACTACCCTCACCATAAAAAACATAACAATGTGCTGCGTTTTTATTAGATAAATATAAAGTTCTTAAACTAATACAATGAGCTGCATTTTACGCTGCTATTCCACGACGGTGTAAAAAGTGGCGAAAGAATTCTTTCCCTGATTGTACCATCCTATTCATACCGCAGCACAGTTACAATACAGCAACTATAGTGTATAGTGAGTAGTATAGTGGCTCGACCAAGTAGAAGCATACAAAGTGGTTCAATCCTAACGGGACCAGACTTAGTTCTAATAAAATTTGATTGATTGAAGCCGAACTAGTTTCCATAAGACTCAATTTACACTGCTGCGGAACGGAATGGAAGTGAATTTTTGTAACGAAATTGTGCATACAAAAATTAGTCTTACGTTAATTATGTAACGCGCAAATGCTTTGAGCTAAAAAAGAAGTTAAATGCTCAAGCATTCCCACGAATATGCGCACCTTAACGCGCGTAGCGTCGCGGCGAAATTTACGCTTCCGTTCCATTCCATTCCACTGCAATCTAATGTAATCGGATTATATCACTTTTTAGAATCTAAATATCAAACTTACCATCATCATGCGAGGCGGACCTGGTGGTGGTGGTGGTGTTACGGGTTGTCGACCTCCGTGTTGTATTTACCACCTCCTTAAGATGCAATTCTGTTTTCTGGAATGAACAGAATAACTAAATTATTTACTATTACTTAATAAATCAAGCTTTTTTAACCGACTTCAAAAAAGGAGGAGGTACTCATTCTGACTGTATGTCTCTTTTTATATGCGTTACCTCACAACTTTTTACTAGGTAAACTGATTTTGATGACTCTTCTTACTTGAAATCTGGTGCTTCTCATGTGTCCCATATGATTTTGGTCAAGATCTGACCAGTAGGTTTTGAGTTATTCTTAATATTGCGTATTTAATTGACTTGGGCTTTGCTGGTTTTTTTCGTTTTTTTTTTGTGTTTTTTAACTTAAAATATATTTTTTTCTTTAGATAAAAACGGAACTGGTTATTTGAATAAAAAATCATGAGTGCAATTACTTTAATTTAAATTTTCGTGTTTTTAAAAAATACTAAAAAAAAGGGCTCGAAAAAATAGATTTTCTCAAAAAAGAAAGGAACATGAAAAAAAAATTAAAAAAAGTCGGTCGGTCGGTCTGGGCTCGAACCGGGGTTTTACGATTCTGTGACCGCCCATTATACCAATTAAGCTATATATAATCATTAACAATCTGTCAAAATTTACCTTCTTATTCTAACGATATTGTAGCAGTTTTTCATTGCCTAAAAACACGGACAAAAAGACATTTTCTAAAAATAAATCCTAGCTAGATCGATTTTTTATCCCCGAAACTCCCTGGACACTAAATTTTATGAAAATCGTTGGAGCCGTTTCCGAGATCCCGATTATATACATATGCATACAATATATATACAAGAATTGGTCGTTTAATAGTATAGGATTCTTCTTTATGTATATCCCTTACCGCAACATCGACCCATGAGTGACGTATGTGATGTCAGAGGGAAGCTGAAACAGGGTATGGGCAGCAGCCTTCCTGATAACAAGTCTAAATAATAATAAAACGGCGGCCTATGTTCAGCAGTTGACTTTTATAGCATGTAATGAAATATTAGTACTTAACTGAAATTATACGCCATAATATAATCACCAATTGAATCAACTCGCTATGCTTTTATATAGAATACCTTTTAAGGAGCCGAACCACTGACTTTCATAACACTAATGGTGGTCAATATGTTGCATAGCGCCATATTTAGCGCGCTATCTGTCCATAACGCATAGCGCGTGCTATGTAAGCAGTCGCCATGGCGCTATGGCGCTTTGGCGCTATTCATATCTAGTGGCAATTAGTTCCAGCAGCGCTGTTAGGAGTGGATGTGTGATGCAAATTTTCTCTAGCAGCACGCTATTCATCGCGCGAGATTGCATGTAGTGTTAGACGTTATTTATTTAGGGTATACTGTATCCTATACCTTTAAACGAGCAATTCTTGTATATATATATATATATATATATATATATATATATATATAATCGGAATCTCGGAAACGGCTCCAACGATTTTCATAAAATATTGTGTGCAGGAAGTTTCGGGGGCAATTAATCGATCTATACTCTGATTTTTCATTCCGTAGAATTCTGACATTTCGTAAGTGTTGCTACTAAAAAAGTTCTCCACCGAAAAAGAGACAAATTTGAACCATTTGAGGGCAATAAATAATAAAATGCTACGTATTTTTTATGTTTCACCTACAAAAAAGGTAAATCTAAATATTTACTTATACAAGTCACCTAATACAAAAATAACAAATATTTCAATATCACGAACAATATATCTAATTAACTTTAATTACTTAATATTTTATTCTTTAGCTGGCATCACTGTCTACTAATTCCAGGTTTAAAAAACCTTTTAAAAAAATGTTAGCTGTCACGTCGCGTCTGTCACATTGATTGATTTTCATTCGACTTCTTTGAATGCTCGAATGCGCATGTGTTCTCGGTGTTTGCTGCTATTTGTTGTTATTATCTTGTTATATTTGTTAAGTTTCTGTTATTCTGTTAAGTTTTTTCTTGTTGACCTTTCGTTTTGTGATCGTTTGTTGATTTTTATAAACGTTATGGAGCCACAACCTGGCCCTTCCCGGGAAGCAGCCCCATCTGACAGAGCACAAGGCTTAGACTTTCTTTCTCCCAGAAAGAAGCGTCCTCGTGGTGCTTTTACGCCCAACGAAAAGACCATAATTCTAAATATTTACAAATATAATATAGAAAATTGGCCGCAAACAACTGATTGGAGTGCAACGGAATGTGCTAAAAAGACTTCTGAGATGACTGGCGTGGGTCTGTCAAGTGTCTATAAAATTACCAAAGAATATAAAGACACAAAAGAATTTCAAAAGCCGAAAAAGAGTGGACCTCAACTATCTTTCATACAAAAATTTGACGAATTCACTTTCGCCGCAACTCGACGAAAGGTTCACGCGTTTTTCTACAGGAACGAGATTCCGACTATTGAAAAGGTAAAGTTATTGCTAATTCTTTAACACCTCGTTGCTGACATCCCCCATTGTTTTAAAACTATACTTTAACCTGTGTTGCCTGTCTACATTTTAACTGTAATGTAAATGCTTATTTCAGATTCACCAAGAGATAACTGGTGATCCAGACATGCCTGTTATGTCGAAATCAACATTAAGAAAAGTATTGAAGCATTTAAATTTTAAATACACAAGTCGCAAACGTCGAAGTGCGCTAACAGATCGCAAGGAGATAGTACTATGGCGTCAAAAATACTTGCACCAAATTAAACAATATAGAAGAGAAGGCAGGCTTATATATTACCAGGATGAAACGTGGGTAAACGAAGGCAAGTATTGAATTATGTGGTAATTAACTTTTTATAACCTATCTTTTCTTCAAAGTATTAGTCGGAAATCGAATTCTGTACTTATGTAATACTTAAATTAACTTTGTTAATAAATTTTTGTTACCAAAATGAATAAATAAATAAAGAAATCCATGTTTACAGGTAATATTTTTCAATTTATATGCATATATAACTGTCCTCATGTATAAGTGAAATATTAAATATATTTTTATTTTCAGGACATACCGTCAATAAAGTGTGGTGTGATACCAACATTCAATCTTCACGACAAGCTTTCCTCGATGGCTTGACAACAGGGCTTAAGGCACCAACAGGCAAAGGGGGGCGACTTATAGTTAGCCATATAGGGAGCGAAGAAGGATTTTTGGAAGATGGTTTATTAGTTTTTGAGGCAAAAAAAGGCTTGGCAGATTACCACAAGGAGATGACTGGGGAAGTATTTGAGGAGTGGTTCACAAAAATACTTCCAAAATTAAAACCAAACTCGGTAGTAGTGTTGGATAATGCTCCCTATCATTCGAGGAAGGTCGAAAAAGTACCAACGAGTGCATGGAGAAAAGGCGATATCCAAGCGTGGTTGACTTCAAAAAATTTAAATTTTGAAGAAAAAATGCTAAAAGTTAATTTATTGGAAATTGTGGGTCAGGAGAAATACAAATATCAACAGTGTATTGTAGACGAGATGGCCACAGCACAAGGCATTACTGTGCTTAGACTGCCCCCATATCATTGTGAGCTCAACCCTATTGAATTGGTGTGGGCTCAAGTGAAGGGGCATGTCGCAAGACACAACAGAAGTTTTAAAATGGCGGAAGTTAAAAAACTATTACTGGAAAGTATAAGTAGTATTACTCCTGATAAATGGCAAGAATGTATCAGCCATACAATCAAAGAAGAAGATAAGATGTGCACTCTCGACGATTTCATTGACACAGTCGCAGACTCTTTAATAATTCATGTCAGCGATGATGACGATGATGAAGATAGTGATATAAGTATTAATGATGACTAAAGATTTTAATAAAAATATGTTATTTTTACTTGTGCATTTTTTACTGTTTGTAATGAAAAGGGACGTAATTATCACTCGCCGTAAAACCATGTAGAGTACCGCACTTAATAAAATGGATACATTTACTAACAAATAAAATGTATGTATAGACTCAGATGTTCAGACACGTATTGAAATTGAAAAATGTGCCCGGCCAAAAAGGTTTGTAATCTCTGACATGTCAAAAAATGATAGCTGTCAGAATTCTACGGAATGAAAAATCAGAGTTTAGTTAGGATTCATTTTTAGAAAATGTCTTTTTTGTCCGTGTTTTTAGGCAATGAAAAACTGCTACAATATCGTTAGAATAAGAAGGTAAATTTTGACAGTTTATTAATGATTACAAATAGCTTAATTGGTATATTAGGCGGTCACAAAATTGTAATACCATGGTTCGAGCCCAGACCGACCGACCGACTTTTTTTAATTTTTTTTCAAGTTCCTTTCTTTTTTGAGAAAATCTATTTTTTCGAACCCTTTTTTTTAGTATTTTTTAAAAACACGAAAATTTAAATTAAACTAACTGCACTCATGATTTTTTATTCAAATAACCAGTTCAGTTTTTTTATTATGTCGCTAATATCAAAAAATATTATTCGTATTTCATCAGTATTAATTTGTATCTAAATATAATTTCCAAAACACACGAATTAAAAAAAAACCGAGCGAAAATTACCGAGCAAAGCTCGGTCAACTGGGTACTATATAAATGATCGTAGGACACAGTTGTCTGCTACAAAAGTACAAAAGTGTATGTAAATATTGATTAAAACTACTTTTACGGATTTTATCGCGTTTTGGTCACGGGGGACTGAGGTGACTGACGTCCCAATGTCAAAGTTAACCCGGAGTACCTTCAGCTTTTTAATTGTTGTCTTTGGTCCGATCTACGCAGAATGAACTAACTGTGTTTTGAAGTCTTGCAGTGGTATGCTTGGGTTTAGTTTTAATTTTATTAATTACATGGTCCCAAGCAGGTGGTAGTACCCAGCCTCCTTCTCTATTGAAATTAGGATGTTTTTTAATTTCAATAGCCTCACGTATCATCCTTGGTAGGAACCGATGTTCTTTCGCGAGGATTTGTGGTGCGCTTTCTTATAAATAGCACGCTATAATATTGTGTATATAATAGCGCGCTAGAAATTCATAGTTTATAGTCTGTAGCGTGCTATTGATTTATAGTCGTTTTGCACAACTTTACATAACACAGGTTATCCTAGCATGAAATTCAGGGGATCAACTTAATAAGTCCCTTATGCTAGCCATTTTGTTACAATTAATCTACGATAACACTGTGTTATGTTTAAGGCTTATTTCTTAATAAATTATTATTATTATTTATTAATTTGGGATAAAAAATTGGCTGGCCTGGCCTGGCTCTTTATAATATATAAAATAAGGCTAGTTAGCTACATGCTTGGCGTTGAAGCAATACATTTCAAATAATTTTGAAGTCATGTGCTTTAATTTGAAATAACATTTGAAATATTTTTAGTTGTTTTATTTTTTATAGAATAAGGGTGACAAACCAGCACACAGTTCACCTGATGGTAAGTGATTACCGCGGCCCACAGACATCTACATCTATTCTTGATTACCAATCAAAATGCAGATGCATTGTCATACGTGAGGACTAAGATGGAATGCCTCGTTCCTGGTAAAAAGGGTCTCCAGTTCTACACTCATCATAAGAAACAAAGCAGCATTAAGCTGGTATTCTGTGAGAGTGTGGTTCTCCTTACTCCTAACCTGGTCAAGCCGACCCATATGCTACTAACGTAACATAACTGCAGCATGGCTCTTCCATGTATAGGGTGCTTATGATACTGATGAACTCTTATGTATAAAAGACTATCTAGAATGAATGGGTTCCCTGTTGTTTTTTCAGCACACCGAAGTAGCCAACTAATTAATAAGGTAATATTTGTTTCCTTTGGAATATGGAACCAGTTCAGATGGTTAGCACTGGCTGTAAATTTCACAGCATACAAGCAACCTTTGAGTTCAATGATGAGACCTTCGGGTTCGATGCCCATCGGCACAAATGAAATTGTTAATTGCAGTTTTAATTGCTATACTCAGCAGTAAAAAAAACATTGTGAGGAAACCTGCATGTTTGAAAAATAAAAAAAAATTGAAGACATGTGAAGTTCGCCAACGTGCATTGGGTCGGTGTGACGGACATTTCCTTGCCCTAAAACCCTCGCAGTAATGACTAATCTTTATGGAACCAGTTAGTTATGATAAACTGCCATATTGTGATAGCATTATGGCTGCTTTTATTCTATGCTGTACTGCAGGGTACACTTCAGTACTAATTTTGTACACCTATTTCTTAGTTTTGAATATCTAAGACTTGCTTTAACAGTTTGATTTCAACACCAATGATTTCTACTGCATTTACACTATTAAAAATGAACATACATAATAATAAAAGCAATATCTTCAATTAAATAGGTACTACATTAGGTGTTTTTGTGTAGCAAATGATTATGCTATTTTATTATGTTTTAACATTATACTTACCAGCTCACCAACTGTCTTCTGTAAGTATGTATCGCTAATAGAACCCAGAAGTATCTTGAATGCCAACTCCACATTCCTTATTTCCATTTGAGCTCTGGAGTCAATTTTTTTTTTCTGATCCATTACTGCAAGTGGTTAGATTTAATATTGTTACTATCATTATCTCAAATTATTTAAAAAATAACAAACATAACACTTCCACACAAATGTCTTTCAATTTTACAGTGGACCTCCGGTAATCCAGGCCCTGTCTAATCCGGCACCCTCTGTAATCCGACATGGTCTATTATTTTATCATTGAATATTTTTTTGACAATCTTCGCTAATGCATGAACAAACAAGTTATAACTTGTAAGCACCATCACTATTGTACTCAAAGTGTAGGGTATTGTTTTGATTCTGATATCTTAGTTTAACACTACAGTACAGGCGTCCCTTTTCTTCACATAAGTACACGCGTGGCCTACTATTGTAGGCCATTTTAATATATCAATTACTTGTATATAACCAATTATATTATTAAAACCACGAATATAATGGAAAATATATTTATCTTTCTTAGTTTTACAAACATTTTTTCTTAGGAAAATTATTAAAAATAGTAAACAATCAACAATTATTCTGAGATCTATGTAACTTTTAGTAATTTTAGACTTAACCTAATTATTATTGTCTTTGTTTTCGTAGCAATTAGGACACACTACTGCTTGGTGTTCAGGACAAATCCATTTGTTGCAAGTCTTACACCACTTTTTTTGTGGACTTATTTCGGGCACTTGAGCAGAGTGCACATCGACCAACTCGACCTATATTTGGAGTCAAATCGTGTTGAGACTCTTGGGATTCTTGAACTGTGCTGGCTAAAAGTGCTTCTATCCTAAATTTAAGTTGTCGCGGAAGAGTTTCGATGAATGCCCGGCGAACCAAAAGCGGTTTTATCAAATTGAATGACAATTCGTACAAAAAGTTTCGCCTGACAATTTGTCTTTCAGAACCGTTCATTTGATTGATTATCAGAGCGTTGATTCCAATGTTAATCATATCAAAAATATGGTTAGTGGCCATCGACGACTGTAACGCAAAACACTATACTGCTTACACATCTTGTCTAAAATGTCTACACCACATTTAGTATGATTAAAAAGTTACAATCTCTGGCTTGCGGTCTTCTTTGGTATCAGAATCTATAGCAGCATCATAATGCATTGTAGACAATAAATTGACTGCCTTATTTATTTTTGGTACATAGGACATAAGGCTAACATCTTTTTGAAACCCAAAAAGAGAACTTTTGCTAGTCCTAGACTTGAAGTTTGAACTCCTTGGGAATTTCGGGTCTATAAGATTCATAGTACCAACAATCGTGATTTTCTTCTGCAATAGCTCTTTAGCCAGAGGAAGATTTGTGAAGTAATTGTCCATTGTCACATTACAGCCGAAATCATAAAGCGGATCAAGCACTCTATGGACAACGTCTTTTACCTTGTTGGACTTTTGAAATGGAACTTCCGGTTGCGCTCTAACATATATCTCAAAATTGAAGACATATGAAAATTTCGTGTCGACCACCATGAAAAAATTCCGAATTTGTCTAGCGTAGCGTGTTTATTCGATATATACATTATAAAGTCGCAACGCCCTCTAAAGCCAGCAAGTTGTTCGTCTAGCGTCAAATAATCACTGGGAGTATAGTTTTTGCGACAATTGTTAGTGACTAACTCCACAACTTGTCGAATTGGTGCCATTTTGACAAGTTCTCGACGCTGTTCTCGGTCAGTAATATCGTCGAATCTGAGGGCATGTATCAAAAACCGGAATCTATTTATTCCCATGGTGGTATATACAATTTCCAAACCAGTACCCTGAGAGTTATCCCAAATATCTTTTTTGTTGTGACGTCCATTTCGTGATACTCCCATGACGTATAATATGCCCAGAAATGCTCTCATTTCTACTATATCAGTGGGCTTAGCATCCCTGTTTCTTTGGAAATCGACTTTTATTTTATCTATGAAAATATAGGTGCACCTTACCAATATTTCCAAGATATCTTGCGTGAAAAATAGTTCAAAATACGATACCGGATCCTTCGCATTCTTAGCAGCGTCTCCTTTTGGACCTGGTGGTCTTATCCTAATGTTATGTGGTCGAATACGCGTTGCTGGTGGAACATATTTTTGTCACATGGTTCTATTCGTTGATTTATAGACTGGACCTCGTCTTCTGGTTGCTAGTTGCGAGAGTTGGTAGTCATCTGAATCTGATGTTTCGTCAGATGCGCTTAGTCTTGTGTCTTCACTTTCGCGGAGTTCTAACTCGTGAACTAGTGCCTATAGGTCTGGTTCTGTCTGAACTTCGTCATCTCCACTCTCAATCACTTCTTCATCATCAGTTTCTAACTCATGCAACCACCTTTGTATTTGTGAATCCTCCATGACGTATTCGGAAATAAATCTGAAAAATTACATAAATTAGAAAAAAGAGATACACTTTTTACAACTTGTAATGACTAATTAAATAATAATATTAGTATTTAAATACATATAAACAGACAATTGATACTAGGATAGTAAGATAACCGCGCTGTAAGTCAATAATACATCAAAAGTTACATACCTGAATTTGGTGCACCAATACACGCGCGGACTACTATGGTAGTCCTTCACTTTTGGCGCCAAATTACCAATTCGTGCGTCCGCGCTAGGGTCCCGCAAGGTACTGAGGTTGTGGCAAATACAACAGATGATGCTTACCTGGAATCACTAGTTTCTAGCGCGCTAAACTAAAAAGTTATTGCAAAAGGAATAACCGTGGTCTACCATAGTAGACCGCGCGTGTACTCTAGTGTTAAATTTGACTACGTGTGATAAGGATAATGGTGTGGCCTAGCATGTGTTCAGAGAAAAGTACATATATATAACATATAGAATCTTATTGGATCCATAATTTGTCAGATTACAAAGTACTCTTTAGTATGAATTCCCAACTATAGGGTGTCTTAGGCAGTACTCTATAATCCGTCAAATTCGATAGTTCGACACTGCCCTGCAAAATGTTTATCGGATTACTGGGGGACCCCCAGTGGGGGTCCACTGTATATAGTTTAGTGAGTATGAAGTAAATAAGTCAATGTAAATAACAAATATTTAACCTCTCAACCCCCTAGTAGTCTTATAAGACCGCGGCCATATTCCGTCAAATCCCTAGCGGTCTCATGAGGTCGCACCCACCCACAGCACTTTAACCCATAAAAACTTATATATAGAGACTACTTTTCTATGAAGAAGTTTGGCATTATATAATCAATATAAAATACTCTATCCTGTAGTGCAATAAAAAAACTGTTATCCTATGAATATTTATTTATAATCTACGTTCATTTCGTACGCCATTTTCGCGTGAATGTTATTATGTTGATTCTTGGATTTTTCTAGTGTTTTAGTATAGTGTTTTATTATAAAATTGTAATGAAAGTTTTTGTGAGAATATAATTTATTTTTTATATAAATAATTTCGAGTAATGTACATGGAAATAATTGTGATTTTGATGCTACGACATTCGCTTGGTATGTTTTTTTTGTTATCAAAATACAATAAAATCTTTTTGTAATGAAGTAAATCCTGAATTTTGTTTAAACCACAGGATAGAGAATTTTGTATAGATTTTATAATGCTAAACTTCTTCATAGAAAAGTAGTCTCTAAAGTAGTAAAAGTTTTAATGATTTTAAGTGCTGTGGGTAGGTGCAGTTGCATGCGACCGCTCGGGATTTGCCGGGCGTATGCGACTGCATGTAATTTTTATGGCGCTTGAAGAGTTAATTATTGATTCTAGACATTATACTTTACAACAAAGTTGTTTGTAACAAGTACTAGGGGCACTTTATTAATAGGATGTCGGTATGGTATATATATGTATATGTTTTCTAACCCGAGAATAGATACTAATGATTTGTTCTTTCCAGCTCAAAGTATCATTTACTTGAATACCTAGATATCTGATAATCTCTGCTCTGCTCTGGTTAATGTGCTGCAATTGCGTTGGCTAGTACTACTATATTGGCTAGATACTTTACAACAAACTTACAAAGTTAACAAGCGATTTCAAATTTTAAGCAGTACATAAATTTATTTTACACGAACTCTCACCTAATTTATTTAATTTCTTCAAAACATCGTCATCATCGGCCGTCTTCTCCGACCGTTTAACAGGTCGTTTTGTTCTTGGCATTGTTTATTCAATAAACAACTATTTTGCCTATTGTTATTTTGCACTATTTTAAGATTTAGATTGTATATTATTTTATTTTATTATATTAACAAATAACAAAGTTATTTGAGACTTCAAACATGCTTCAAACAAAATTATTACTCCATATTACTCCTAGCAGATCTTCAAACTTCAAACAAAACACGATTTCCACTGACTGCAACTAACCGACATTTTTGAATTTGCATTAGAGATCGGATACACTGCTGCTGGCTGGCAATTACAGTAACGTGTAAAATATCGTAATGTATAATTTATTTTGTAATATGTTTGGAATTACTATTATCTGTAATAAAAACGGCAACACAATAAGCAAATAATTATATTAGAATAGAGAATTCATTTTATTTATATTATATTTAAACAGAAAAAATAACGCAAAACGGAATTCTGAAATTAGGCATGTCGATCTAAAATCGATTTATATAAAAATCGATTCTTTGGAGTAAAATAATCGGTTATTTAGATCGATTCGGAGCACTGCATCGATTCACTGAATCGATCCAAAAACCTCTCGAATCGGACTGATTCTTCTGATTCAAGAACTAGCGATAAAATACCCAAACCGGCTGGGGTAATATACCGCAGTTTTTTAATTTTTTGCTGTTGGTGGACGCAATAACAACCGGTCGTACTTGTTTGATGATTTGAACGTAATATATATTTTAATAAAATAAATATTTATGAAAGCATCCAACAATATCGAAAAGTTGTCATTTTATTTACATTTATACAATTCTAACTCTAATCTTACCTGTGGAATGTTGTTCTAACTTAATCTGTGCTGTGAACAAAGACTACCTACGTATACATACTACAATATAATATTATAGCTGTGAACCTGTTTGAACTGTGAACTTGTGAATTTACTTTATTTATTATCAAAAATATACATACTGTGAGCTGTAAGTACAGATAGAGTACTTTTTTAAATACCTAGATACTGTAAATAAATATTATATTTTGAAATTTTATAGTAAGGAAATAACCAGTATTCTGTTCGTGTAGCATCCATTTTGATTTGATAAATAGTGAGTTTTTAGATGGAAACAGAGTTATCGAGAAATGAACGTTGCAGTTTGCACTTTTGTTAATGTATTGTTGTTGTTTTTAGCCTAAAATAAAAGTGATACCTGGAATCACTTTGTAAAAAAAGGGATCGAGTGGAGTATGTGCGAACCACACCTAACACAAGCGTTTCAAGCTTACCAGGAGTGGTTCGAAGGAATAATAGTAATGTTAATTAATAAGATTACTAATATATTATTTAAAAAATATTAAAGTTCAATTAAAGAAAAAGTCGCAAATTTGCATTTATATTAAAATTTGCATTTATATTAAAATTGGAATTTATATTAAAATGCAATATAAATTCTTGTGTGTGTAAGAATAAATAAATAAATAAACGATAGCTAAGCACTGCGATACGACGATCGACCCAGTGAAAAAATAAATATACCTATTACAATCTGCTTAGTCTGTTAAACTTACCGAAGACTGCCCACTGAATTAACTCATTTTTTTTTTTGATATTTACTAGTAACTAACGGTAACGATGGCTAACGGGATGCCAATTTGCAGTTACAAACTTTACAACAGGCCACGTCTGGATCATCTTTAGCTTTGGAGATTCACGACGAAAGTAAAGGATCTTGCTCCCACTACGCTCTATACGCCCAATCATAATTTTGCTTTAACACCACCACCGATAATTATCATCGCCCACGAAATATGATTAACAAGATATCGCTAACAATATGTTATCACCGTAAAATCTAATTCCATACCTATATAAAAAAAGTACTCTGTGTGCGATACCAAACCAAACTGTAAGATCTTCTATGACTGATTAAAAGGTTAACCATAAACTCGTGTCTATGAATACTTGTTTTAAGATTACCAACTTTACAAACAAACGTTTAAAGTTATTTATTGAATGTGATACAAACATACGAGAAGTACAAGGGAATTTCCCACATGCTGGGGAAGAATCTAGGGCTACCATTTTCAGAATTTTGATATGCCATAATTAAATCTATTTTTAATACCCTACTACTGCCAAATACTGCCAGGTTTAATAAAACGTCAACCGATCACGCCAGAGGCTAAAATAAGAGGCCAATCCCGAATAATGGCAGAAACATACCACATATGATCAAACTGCTGTTGTATGGAATTGGACAGACAATAGCAACAATCATAGATAAGAGTGGAAGTATATGGTCCAGCTATATATATTGATCTCTGTAAACATTGTGTAGCCAATACTTGGAGGTTAGAGAGAAGGAGAACAATTGCTGTAGAAAATAGTGCCCCAGAACCATAGATAAATAAATATGTAGCAAGCTACCCAGAACTATGTACAAAATAAGGACAGTGCTGCGATTGCTAAGTTGTCTTAATAAAAGTCATTTTCAGTCTATTTTTCCTATCGTATGCTAAACCACTTGCACATCCATGCACAATATTTCCCCATTTTTTATAGTTTCTTTTTGTCAAAAATTAAAAAATTACGGAGCAGATTATTTTCTCACCAATGCCGCGAAGAAAATTTGTACATTATTCATCTAACTTCATCTAATTGTACTCATAAACAGCTAACTTCGCAGATACTACTTACTGACGAATTTTCAGGGAACGGCGGGCTATGGTATAGTAAGTAGCGATCGTTCTCCTTCTCTCTAATCTCCATGAGCCAATCTATGGTGTAGCCTAAGGAGGTTGGAGTGAAGGAGAACGATCGCTGTAGAAAATAGTGTGCCAGATATATGGACAAAATAAGTGAGGCACTGATTCGCTAAGTTGTCTCAATAAAAGTCATTTCCAGTCTATTTCTCCCATCAGATGCTAAACCACTTGCACATTCACGAACAATACAATATTTCACCATTTTTCATTGTTTTTTTTTTGTCAAGAGTTAAAAAATTACGGAGCGCAATTATTTTCTCACCTTTGAGTGTTTAACCAAAGGAGACGGCATCGCAAGGCAAACCCCTCTGTAAAAGGTACGAGAGTCAGACTCATATTCGTTATATAAAACTAGTTGCTCCGCGTCGTGTGTCATTTAGAAGTGATCGTGCCAGTAAATCGAGCTCCGACAAAATGCCGAATTGCAGTGTATTTACATGAAAAAAAAAACAATCAAAAACGTTAAGTATACAAAAGGATAATATGATGATTTCTTAAGTTTACGCGAACACTACACATTGAATAAAACTAAATTTACGGATTTTATCGCGTTTATTTCATTACTTTTACTTATTTTTAATTCCCGACGTTTCGGGTGCTTTACAGCACCCATGGTCACGGGAGGGTCTGAGATGTTTGACGTCACAATGTCATAGTTAGTCCGGCTACCTTCAGTTTTTGAATATTAATTTTTGGTCCAATTTTCGCAAAACAAGCTTATAGTATCATGAAGTCTTGCAGTGGTATGCTTAGGTTTGGGTTTAATTTTGTCAATTATAGGATCCCAATAGCCTCGCGTATCATCCTTGGTAGGAATCGGTGTTCTTTTGCGAGAATTTGTGGTTTATCAAATCGAATGTAACTGCATTTTTAGACCATCTTAACTCTATAAAATCTAAAATTCAGTTCACAATGGAGTTAGAGGCAAACAATTCCTTAGCTTTTCTAGATGTGTTAGTAATTCGGAATCCTGATAACACCTTGAGCCATACTGTGTATAGAAAAAAGACCCATACAGATAGATATTTAAACGGTGATTCTCACCACCATCCTTCACAGTTAGCTACCGTGGGTAAATCTTTGTTTCAGAGAGCACGAGGGATCTGTGACAGTAAACACCTGGCTGCAGAGCTCCACCATGTCAAGCAAGTTTTGCATGACAACAAGCTTCGAGTCCTGCGCCTACGTCATAGTGAACGAGTGAAGCCGGCCACAGTCGAGCGTGTACCTGCTGTACTGCCATATGTTAGAGGAGTCACTGACAATATTGTCTACATCATGAAGCGCGCTTCCATCAAAACATGCTTCAAGCCGCTGAAGAAGATTGGTCAGTTTTACCATCAGTCAAGTGTAATGTCCCTCTGCAAGATGCAGGAGTGTACAAGCTTAATCACCTAATTTATTTAATTTCTTCAAAACATCGTCATCATCGGCCGTCTTCTCCGACCGTTTAACAGGTCGTTTTGTTCTTGGCATTGTTTATTCAATAAACAACTATTTTGCCTATTGTTATTTTGCACTATTTTAAGATTTAGATTGTATATTATTTTATTTTATTATATTAACAAATAACAAAGTTATTTGAGACTTCAAACATGCTTCAAACAAAATTATTACTCCATATTACTTCTAGCAGATCTTCAAACTTCAAACAAAACACTATTTCCACTGACTGCAACTAACCGACATTTTTGAATTTGCATTAGAGATCGGATACACTGCTGCTGGCTGGCAATTACAGTAACGTGTAAAATATCGTAATGTATAATTTATTTTGTAATATGTTTGGAATTACTATTATCTGTAATAAAAACGGCAACACAATAAGCAAATAATTATATTAGAATAGAGAATTCATCAGATGCAGGAGTGTACAAGCTTGATTGTGAATGTGGTCTCTCCTACATAGGACAAACAAAAAGATCAATAAAAACCCGCGTTAAAGAACATATAGCTGATGTGAAGAATCGACGCACCGGGAAGTCTGCAGTCTGTGAACATGTACAGGATCGCCCCCGTCACTACATCAGATTTGATAGACCGCAAATCCTCGCTAAAGAACACCGATTCCTTCCAAGGATGATTCGCGAGGCTATTGAAATCAAAAAACATCCTAATTTCAATAGAGAAGATGACTGGGTGCTACCATCTGCTTGGGATCCTATAATAAATAAAATTAAATCCCAACCCAAGCATACAACTGCAAGACTTCAAGATACCATAAGTTCATACTGCATAGATCGGAACAAAAGTTAAATTTTAATCTATGGTAA